TGCAGGTCTTCCCAGGTGCTGGACTCCATCAGATCCGGAAGCTGATGGGAGTTGGGAGCACCTGTTAGAATTCTCCTTCATAGAAAACCTCAGAGAGTTGAAATTGCACTTAGGTTTTGAAAAACTTACTGCCAGAACTATAAAAGACATCAGACACTGGCTTCCCGCATGACAGATCTGTTCCATGCTGACTTCCCACTGAAGACTGGAGCATGGTCCAGCTTCTGTTCAGTGCCTCCTTTTGGAGGCATTGACTGGGAAGGAAATCTGACAGACTGGAGAAAACTTGGCTAAGAGTAAATAGTCTTTATTTAGTAATAATTAGCAGTGGTTTTTCATACACCTACGAGTCCTTTGGCTCTTGAAGGGTTGGGACATGGTCATGCCTACTTGAGGGAGAAATTCCTGAAGTTCATTCAGTCCTGATCAGCATGACTCAAGGGAAGCAGCAGCCTCCTAAAAGGGCATGTCCAGTCTTTCAAGGATTCTTAGTTCCCAGCCCAAGGGATTGCCTACAACACATCGTGCTGAACTATTTTGGTACCTGGCTAGCGTCTCTGGGTGTGTCGCGTGGTTGTGTGGCTGCAGCCAGCAGTCTGCAAGAGGAACAGAGAGGGAAGTGTTCAGATTTTGCAGAGTTTCAGCCCTGCAGGCACTGCATGGAGCTGCTAATGCTTACAAAGTGGCCGGGTAAAAGGGTGTAATCAAGTGAGCTGTGGGTAGAGGAAGAGTTCTTAATTGCAACTGTAGGAGTAGTTGGCAGCCTCGGTGGCTGATAGTGTTCCTCAGGTGAGATTGGCGTCCTCAGGTAAGCAGAGTTCTGGCAGGCCATGGGTGAGGAGCCATGGACCAAAACAAGCTGATGATAGGAAAATTGCCTTGGCCATGGGTTGATGGAATCGTCAGCATGCATGCTTAGACGTTAATATGTGCTAAATCGCAGCCTATTGCTGAAGTGGACACAGGCTCCCTGAAGCTGTCTGAACTGCAGCAGAGGAGGAGGGAGCTTGGTAGTTCCCACACAGGCCCTGCTGTAGCTTTTTCTGGAGGTTTCATAACAGAATTAAGCAATTTGTGTTGCATGTTGCCATGGAGACTGTAAATCACTGTCATGCTGGTCTTCTCAGTCAGGGAGCCGGTGTCTTTAATTGCACTAACCTCCCCTACAAATCCAGGGCTTGGTTCTGAGCTTGCTGATCTGTAAAGGCCTCGCCCTGGGAGCTCAGCCTCCAGGACAGCAGAGCAGGAACCAGGGAAGGGGGTGCTAGGACATCGAATATCAACTATCTGGGGTCCATTTTATCTTTTATTGTTGTCTTTTGTGGCCACAACTCTGTTCAGACCCACTTGCATCCAGGGCAAGTTTTGTAATGAGGGTGGGGATTAGATATGCTACCTACATTTTGTGGGCCAGTCATACAAACTAAGCTGAATTTGGTGGTTTTATGTTAGTAGGCTGCTCCAAGGGGATACCTCAGCCCTTACACTCCATCTCCATGTCTAGACAGGTAGATGGGGTTTTATGCACTTTATTCTGCCTCCTAAAAAAAAATACTTTTTGCTGAGGAGGCTCACTCAGCCTCAATGACACCCTTGGATCAATGTTTCTTTTTTCTTCCCATCCACCTACCCCAGAAGTAGCCACATTTCTGTCTCGGCATTACTGGCTTGTGCTGTTAGGCCACCAGTCTTGCCAGTGTATATGAAGATGGTTGTATAAATCAGCCTCCTTCCAGTTACTAAACCCTGACAGCATTTGTCAGCATAGGGTACAGATCCTTCTCTTGGCTCCTTCTAAATAAATAACTATATAAATTGTAAGATGATTATCATCAGGGCTTATTAGTGTATTACCACATGCTGCTTTGTATTCAGACAATAGATAAAAACATTTGTGCTTCACTTTTCCCAGTCAGATCTACAGCAAACACGTTTACTCCCATCTGAGGAGGACTGTGTCAGTACTCTTGCCAAAAACGCATGAAAATCAGCCCAAGTCTTTTGCACTTGCCTGTAGCTCTGTGCACCTTTGGGAATGTTTAGTCTTTTCCAGGAAATGATATGTTTCATGTTGTTTTAAAGGTTTGAATCATGAGCTGGTTAAGTTTATAATCTTGTCAAGGCATGAGTTGTCTTCTTGTTCTGGTTATTAGGGCAGGTGGAGGGGTAGAGGGACTGAAGTGCTTGACTTTCGGAGGGTTTTCATTATGTACCTGCATGGCTGGAGCATGGGACTTGCCATCTCAATAGAAAGAGGAGTATTTTCATGAGCAGTAGAAACAATCCTGCAGAAACATCTAAACTTGCTGCCTGTTAACACTCCGAAGTTTTCATCTATTGTGTTAGCATCACCTAAAATACAGGGAATTGTGCTCAACAAACCAACCTACAGTTCTTGACTTTTTTCCCAATTTTTTTATTCTTTTTTTCAGTTCATTTCTTGCTGTTTTCCCCAGGCTACGTAACAGTCTGGCGGTTCAGACACACAGCATGACCAAACTTCGGTCATGCCTATTCAGCCGATAAGCATGCTGGGCAGAGACACAGTTTGTACAATGGGCTAAACATTATCCTAGTACTTTGGGGAGCATTTCATGCAAGATAAGCTTGAGGCCACTTAGGAGCGGGTTAAAGGGCTGGCACAAAATGTCAGTGAAAATGTAATGCTCGTTGCCAAGCAGCAGCTTGTGGTTTTGTGAGGAGGTCAAAAATTGTGCACAAACGGAGTATGTTTTTCACATCCACAGACTGTCCCCCACCATGTCAGTAACAATCAGTCTTTCATTCTGCCTGGCTGGAGCTGCTCTGCCATGTAAAGAAGGATGGGGTGAAATCTTGGCCATGGGCAAAGCAAAAAATTGTCATTAAATGTGTTGGAAGGAGGGGCAGAGCTTTAGCCAGGGTCTGTGTCTCAAAAAGCCTGTGAGGATCATCTCTCCCAAGAAGGATTACACAGAAATAGAACTTGGTCTTTCAAGCAAAAATAAGACATTTAGTTGAAATTCATAGGTTTTTCTGCAGCCCAGTGTGCTGTGTATTGATGTATGGCCTCATAAATATGAGAAGGTGGCTTACTCAAAAATAGGGCTAAGAAACTGTTCCTTGGGGTTGCTGTGAGGAAATGCAGTAAGACTATTTGAAACCTCAGCTGGTTTGGTCTTCTCCCCATCCAGCAGCTGTTGCTTGCAGTGGAAATTCTTGCTATTCTCAAGAATTTCCTCCACAGGTGGTTTAGAAACAAGCAGACTTGATCATGATTCTTCTTGCTCTGAAAATGTTGGCTTGTCTCAACATGGACAAGAGGCTTTTGCTTTTCTTAGACTCAGCAATCTTATCCTCTGTCTCCTCCTTATGGGCTTTTCTTTTTAGAGGTGTTATGGGGTCTCCAGTTGTGCTGAAAGAACACAAGACACCCAAGTTTGCCAGGTCAAAAGTGCTTTCATGGTGCTGTACTTTGGATTAAACTGAAGTAATGATTTTGGAGAAAGGGACTATAGAAATCAGAAACTAACCTGGATTAGGAAATTGTGTTCTTGTGTTTTGACAAGAACACAATCAGCTTCTGTGACACAGAGCACATCACCCTTGCTTGGTGGCTTTTGAGAATGAGAAAGTCAAAGTTGTCTTTTTAATAAAAAAGAAATCCCTAGGGTTATTGGGAAAGCCTCCAAAAGCTTGTGTGGGTTGGTGGGGATAAAAGCTGGGAGCCAACAGTTTATGGAGGTTCCCTCAGAGCAGTCCTGATCCCACCTCAGTGCTGGGCCCAGTCAGCACCTGCAGCCCAAGAGGCACCAGCAAAACCAGAGTGTCTGGGAGCAGGTGTCTGCAGAAACTGTCATCACAGCTGCTGCTGCACTGAACAGTATTTTCAAGAAAAGCAATACCAAGAAAATGAACTGCCTTGTCTTTGGCCTTATCATTATGATGGATTTTTTTTATTATTATTCTTTTCTCTTTAAGGGTGTGAAAGACCTCCCAGAAAATGCAGTGGTCATTCGGATGTGGGAGATGGCCACCTGTTTCCTCTGTGATCTGAGTGCTGCCCATGGGTGGGTGCAGGGCACTTATAAGTACAGAACCTCCTGCCTGGCTTAAACGAGCAGTCTCTGCTGCTGAATGTTGAAATGGGCCAGTCAGCACCGGCTGCCTCTTCTTCTTTCTCCACATACCTGTGCTGTTGGCCAGTTTCAGACAGGGAATTTTTTTCATCTTTTAGGAGGCAGCTCTGAGGTGAGGGGAGCAGTGTGACCATGCTGCCAGGAAGCTGCTCTCCTGGCTGTGTCACAGCCACAGGCACCAGCCTTCCTGCCACAGCAGGGTTGAGGGGTTTAAAAAAAAAAAAGGCAAAACAAAAACCACCTGTTGTTCCTGGCCTGCTGCCTTCTTGTTTTTATTTCCCAAACTTGAAAGTGAGAGAGAAGAAAGCAGCTAAGTGCATTTTTGTCTGCTGGCAGAGCCAGGATTGGACCTTTAACTCCTGTTTCATCCATCACCACCAGCTGTGCCTGCAGATCTGGCCCTAGGATGTAACAGACCATTTAATGCTTGCTATACCTTGGGTTAAGCAGTAAGGAATAGCACAGCTCTGATTTATCAATGGGATTTGGTCACTGGCAGCAGGAAACTGTCAGGAGCTTGATAGGTGCACTGAGCCAGGGTGATTTTTGTCATTACCATGTGGACCCAGCCCCTGTAGAAAAGGTATGCAATGGCATAGGTGACAGTTAGGTGACATTTTTGGTGACAGTTAGCAATGCTTGTACACAAGGCAGGAGTAAACAAGGCACAGTGGTGGAGCTGTCTGTGCTTGTAAGTGCTGGCTCTGAGCTGGAGCAGAGCTGTTGGGAGGGGCTGATACTGCTGCTCCTGTCCAAAAGGATTTTGTTAGGTCAGAGCTGCCTTCATCCTCACTTGTTAGGCAGCAGGTAAAAGCTGCCTTGTGCATGTTGCCCTCTTGTCACTGCTGCTGAGTGATTGGAGATGATCTGTTTCTCCAGCAGGTTCAGCACACTGGAAGCATGGCTACAAGTGCCGTTCCCAGCGAAAACCTCCCCACGTACAAGCTGGTGGTTGTTGGAGATGGTGGTGTGGGGAAGAGTGCTCTCACTATTCAGTTTTTCCAGAAGATTTTTGTGCCAGACTATGACCCAACTATTGAAGACTCCTACCTGAAGCACACAGAAATAGATGGGCAATGGGCAATTCTTGATGGTAAGCAAGCTGCTCTCACAATCCCCTTTCCCTTCCAGCTGAGCATAATTGCAAATAGATCTCAGTGTCCCCCACAGCATGTTGTGTCCCTGTGTCCCTCCTGCTGTGCTGTGGGCTGGCAGGAACTGGAGCTGCAGTGCATGGTCTGCAGCTGGTCTCCAGCAAAGCTTCTCCTTCCAGTTGCATTGGTTCCAGCTCTGCATAGAAATGTTGCTTGCAGGCCTGTGAAAACTACAGATCCTCATTGGCATTTGGAGTAGGCTTCTGTAGCAGGTGAATTACAGCACTGCCAGGTGGATATTGCTAATCATACTTCATTGTGGTTGAGCTCATCCCCAGGAAATGACAATGGGTGGGTGAGTGAGGGTTATAACCAGAAAGAACATTTAATCAGAGCTGTTGTCCACTGACAGTGAAGAATTGTTATAGCTCTTAACTCCAGTTATTTAGATGTGATGTTTTAATATTTAAGTACCTGTTTCATTTAAATAGGGGTAGGGTACCAGCCTGGAGAATTGCTGTAGCCAAGAGTTCTCAGTTCTTTGAAGAAAAACTGCCTTTTATTAGTTTTATTTTTTTTTAATGAAACAACAGTGAAACACACCACCGACCAAAAAACAAAACAAACAAAAAGAAAAACAACCACCACCCAAACAGAAGAAAGGTGACTTGATTAGGAGGTGAGGAGAAAGCTCTGTATTACCTAAAGCTGCAGCTTGTTCATTTGTGCTGCATATGAGGCAGACTAGCCACAGCTACAAAGGCAATCTTGCTCTTAAATGTTGTAAGTTTTGTTTTGCTTTATACAATAATTAGGTAGTACATAAAAGCCAGCAAGTATATCGTTCCTTAATTACCCAAGTTCATGTATGTGGCTACTAACGTAAGTGCACTAAATTTAGCCTCACTTCTGCCAAATTCTGCCTCCACCCTCTTGTCAAGACAGTACTCAAGATCTTTGGTGTCTCTGCCCAAGTGTCACTGGTGTGTGGGGACAGAAAGCTGGGGGATTGTCATGAGTGGTGGAATGTGGGTGCTGCTGGGGTTTGCTGTGCAGACTGTTAGCTTGGTCTGGAAGCTTAGTTGTACTCTTAAGGATTTATCAGGTATAATTTAGTGAGTGCAAATGGCCACAAAGTCCTTAAAATAATAGCTTTTATTCAAAACCAGAAAACAACAAAACAAGTTAATCTTGCCACCTTTTGTTCATTTGAATATGTTAATAGTTGGTATGAGGGAGCATTTGTGAAATTGGTGCTGAAATGTCTCTTCTTGTCATCTGCATCAGAAATATCTGCTCCCAATTAACCATCTCATAATGTATACATGTGCCCTTATTTTTAAAATGCCAGTCCTGTGTAAAAGAAAAATCCAGTCCTGCTGTAAGTTAAATTCATTATTTTGGGTCCAGAATCCAGCCTTCTAAACTGAGCAGTCTTTATTTTCACTGGTATGCCTCATGTTCTAATATAACAGTACCAGCTACTGTACACATTGGTGTTGGCTGAAACACCTGCAATTTGCAAATTATTGAAAAGTAAAAAAGTAATCTTTTACTGAATATTTGGAGTTTTTGCTTAGACAAAAAAAAATCAAAGCAACAAAAAACCCAACCAAACCTGATCTGAGTGGGAGTGGTAAAAGAAATTGTTTTCCAGCAAGCAGAAACTTAACCCTTTGTTTTAATGAAAAAGCCATTATTTTGCTCAGATGGACCTAAATGGCTGTACTTGGGCTGAACTGAATTCAGCTGTGGCCTTGAATGGCATGTTGGGAATCCCTGACTTCCAGAGCTTGTGTGCCCACAGATGCTTCACAGCCAGAGAAGTGAAACTGCAGCTGCTTCTCTTTCCTACCACTCGAGACTGTGAACAATCACAATTTTGGAAGAAAGGCAATATTCTTGCCTGAAAAGGGATGAGACCCTTTTCCATCTGCCCAGCAGAAACAGAGCACCAAGACTGACTTAACACTCCTGTCATTTGCCACAGCTCTCTGTCACAGGCTTTGGATCTAGGCCATTCTCAGAGGTCACCATATACTGGGACAGCTGCTCTTGTGGCTACATGAATCACTTACGGTATAAATTTAGGGATAAACATGATAGGTAGGGTAAAGATGCATCATGATAAATCCTAGACTTTCCAGTTGTTCTTTATGACCAAAGCCTTTACAAGCTGTGGTTTCATGCAGTGCTTGGTGGGCAGAAGCAGCTGCCCACCCCTAAAATAGGAACTAGTTTTGGAATATGAACAACCAAGTGAGGATATAGCCTGAGGGGTTCTATAAGTCTTGAAATTTTCAGAAAAATTATTATTTTAAAAAAACCAAATTCATAGACATCCAACAACTTTTAAAAAAAAGGGAAACATCTCACCTTTTTCCAAGCTATTGCCTGAGAAGTTCTGTACAAAGCATCTCAAGCATTTTGTAACTGCACCAGCATTATGGTAAAAAAACTCTTCTGCTAGCCAGCTTGCATAAAGCATTTGGCTTCCCTCCATGAAGACCTTCACCCACATTTATTCAACAGCAGTAACTGCATGATGAAATGTTTGACTTGCATTTTTTTCCTTTGCTGAAATCTCTCACTGAAAGTAGACTGAAATGGAAGAGGGTTTTATTTTAGATTTCGGAGCAAAAGCTACATTCAGAATCTTCTTTTATCTGTTTGTTCTTTGGCTTGGGCACATCTCTCTATCTTTCTCACCATAGAGCGCTCTGTGATAGTTCCCTGCCTCCCAGAAGACTGGGGAACCTGTGTTTGTCGTTTTCATGTTCCCACTACACAAAACCACTTTATTGTTGACTTTATGCCAGCTTTAGAAGACCATCGATGCAGTGTTTGGAAGACAAGTGTTGTAGAGAGGAAGAGGACACTTAACCTGAATCAAAGATGCACAGGCAATTTGTGGCTAGCCCATTTTTTGGTTGCTGCCACTCTAATGAGCCTTTAGGATCAGCCTCCAATTTTCTCTGCATATGTTATCTTGGTTTATTCCCTGCTGGTTGTGCTGAAATCAGCACAGTGCTGTGCTTGGTGAAATGCACTCAGACGCAGGTGCTGTACAGACATGAGGTCAGAATTAAGTGGGAGCCAGGGTTAATCTGCTTTGATTAGCTCTTGCTCCAATTGCATTGCTGTGATTAATTTTGCACACTCCTTTCTATGTTCAGGCTAACTTAGTAAGTAGCAGAGGATTTCTTTTGGTGTAGCTGAAAAATGCCAGTCTGGAATTATTAATCTGGGAATGAAGCCAAAAGTAGAATACCTTAATATAGCAAAAATTCCCTATGGTTCAGAATTCCTTATGGCTCATACACCACACAGAGATAAAAAGGTGTCAAGCAAAGGGAGATGAAGAGATGACCACAAGCACATGGCTTGTTCTTGCTGGGGAATTGAGCTGAACTCTTAGCTGTAGGGCTAGCACAGCAGGGCTGTGCCAATTGGTACTGGCCAAACAAGGAATTGTGTTGGATGAAAGGAAGCTGTGGTCTCCCTTGCCTTCCCTTGTCTTTCCTTGGTATGATTTTGATGGAACTCTCACAGCTTAGAAGTTGTCTCTGCTCCTGAACTTGAGTCTCCCTTCTAGTTCTCTTCCCAAGACCTCCTCCCAATCCCGGGGTGCCGTTGTGCTGAGCCTGACCTGCTCAGCCTGGTGTGCACCCTGTGCAGTCACACTAAGCTCCATTCCTTCCCCCACACTTCTTTACCATTCCCACCTATCCTTGCATCCATTTTTGTTGAGGGTTTTTGCTGCTAGTCATCGCTGGGCACGCTGTCTGCTTTTCTTCTTGGGAAACTTGAGAGAATTTGGCCATGAGGGGCCAGAAGAAGATCAAAGGTCACTTCAGATTTGCAGGCAGAAGGGTTGGTTTGTGGCTCACTTTCTTCTCGTTTCTGCTTATTTTGACTTTCAGTAGCATCACTGAGAGCATTAAAATTCAAGTTAAATTTGGACTTTCATTCTTTTATTTGTGTGTACAGTATTTCCCCTCCCTTAATTGCTGGGATTTTGCAACTATGAAAGAGGGGGTTTTGTCTTGGGTTGTGAGGAATTTTTTTCCTGCCAGGAAAATTTTGGTGTTGCAACATGGAAAACACAAGGCTTTGAATACTTGCTCCTTGTTAGAGAAAGAGCTCCTTTAAGGGCTTGCATCTTTATTCTGTTTATTGATGTGGAAGCATTTCTCCTGAAGACTCCTCTCTTCTTTTTGCTTAAAGAAAGGGCAAGAATTCAAGTACTTGGGTTTTCCATGTTATAGCATCTGTGTATTTAGCTAGGGCACAGAAGAATGGCTCAAAAAGCCCCAGTGTTTTCCTATCATGTGTTTTTGCTGAGGAAAGCTGTCATGCCAGGGGCAGCTTGGCTGTGTCTGAGAAGGAGCAGAAGCATCAGAGTGACCAAGTGAAGCATCTGTCCTTGCCTTAGGCATTGGCAAGGGCACCTCATGCCTCTTCAAGGTGACTTGGTGTGTGGGAATACAGAATAGGAGCTGTGACCCCAGTACCCCACCTGTGCGGTTCCCAGAATACCAATTCCTCAGCTGAAGCCTATCAGTCCTATCAGTGGCTGATAGGAGTGCCCCCTCCCAGAGTGCTGCTGATGGGAGAACACTGAGACTCTGGATATGGCTTTCCTCAGCCTAAGGCTTGTTAGTTTGACTTGGTAATTCATGTTAAATTTTCCCATGAGGTTAGGTACCAAGCTGCAGGGCAGTGAAACCCAAAGGCTGAAGGACAGAAAATGTGTTAACATGCCTGTCAGTTCATCTTTATCCCCTCTAGATGCCATGGACAGCGGAGAAGCTCTCTTGAGGTGACCTATACACTCAGCTGCCTGGCAGTGTAAAGGTAAAGATGTAGGAGGAAGTTTTGCCTAGATCTGAAAAGAGAACTCACCTGCACAACCAGATCTGAGCTCCTCGAAGGCTGGGAATGCTGTGTTTGAACTGAATCCAGCCTAGACTTCAGAAAAAGCAATGCCATTGTTGACTTAAAAGTTCACAGTGTGTCTCTGCCCTTGGTTTAGATCCACCAAGTGCCTTTGTCTCTGGATGGGCACTCAGAGCACTGTCAGTTGCAGAGACATTGCCACATGATACACCTTTGAAGCACCAAGGGCTTCTGTTTTGGAGCACAAATTCCCGTGTATCCCTGGGCTCCTGTGCCTGCTCAGAAGTGCTCTCTCTAGGCAGCTGCACTCTTGCATAACCCATCAGGATTCCCAGGAAAATGGTGTGGAGAGCTCTAAAGGGGCAGGGTTCAATTAGCAAGGAGTTCATCACAGCAGCTGGGGGTCACATCCACTGGAAAGTGGAAAAGGGCATCTCTTCACTCAGCAACCTCTTACCTGCAAAGCAGGAGACCTCCCTGCTGGGCTCTCACAGCCTAATTGCTCTTAGTTTAGTCTCCAGCTGGTCTCATGATAGCTGTAAATGGCTTTGCCCTCTTTGGATGTTTGTTCCTACATCAGACATCCTCCTCAGCTTCTCTCTCCTTCAGCTTACCCAAATGCTTTCCCAATTGTTCCTCATTGCTTCTTAGGTCAAATTTGTGAGAACTTCACCAGGTTTTCTGTTGGAAGTCCCTAACAATGCACTGGCAACCTATGACTCCAATTTCAGTTATTGGAAGAATGAGGTAGGAGAAACTCGCTGTGCTTTGGTCCATGCTGGCATTTATGTGCTGCTGGTGGGGCAATAGGTGGTTTAAAGTGTACCAGCTCACAGTTCTCTACTCCTGGTTATTTCTGTCTTCTGGCATCCTGTCTGTAGAAACAGGAGTTTTAAAAGAAGGTGAATGCTGGCTAAATCTCCTCATCCCTTTGGGAAGCCAGTCACATTGTGATTTACCCCTTCCCAAGGTTTCTCCTTGCCACTTTCCCATTTCTGTAGGTAGGAGTCTTCTTGAAGCTTTTATGCTGCAAGGTAACACCACAAGCAAAGTCACATCTGGCCCTTTTTTGGTGATGATTCTTTTAGGATGTGGTCCTGTCCTGCCTACAGAAGATCTCGATCACTCTCCTCTATTGTGGACAACTCACAAAGCACAGAAGTGTTAGGCTGGGGGTTTGCCTTGATGTAGAGCATCTTTAAAATTAAGACAAGGACTTTCTCTGGCCATCTACACAATGCTTAACTTGGTATGAATAACCCATCTGAGATTAACCTTCACTGCTGTGTGTCTTTTATATGCACTTTCAAAGTGCAATTTTAAATGCTGTCTGGACTTGCTCACCTTTTTATCAATGCTGCAAGTGAATTCCCTTTAAATAGCAGCTGCTGACACAGCAGCTCTGCCTGTGTTTAGTGTGATGGCCAAGATCCAGGCAAGGATGGAGAGGCCCATGCAGTGGAGTATCCCCACAGCCCACCAGGGCTTGCCCCTCTCCCAGGGGATGCAGAGCTTTGGAGGGGCAGCAGGTGGGGATGGCCTGATGGGTGCAAAGGCAGAGCTGGATGCTTCTTACGTGTTTCATGGGAAGTTTGCAAATGTGCCAGAGCAAGGGGAAGTCCCTAAGCAAATTACCATGCAGGATACAGCACATCCATCTCCACCTTCCTGCCCACAGCTTGTGCTGGGGCACCTGCCCTGTCTCGGGGGAGGGAGGGCAGGAGGCCTCAGCTCTCAGCAGGGAGCTCTCCCACTCCACCACAGGTTGGGTTTGTGTGCTGGTTGTCAGCTCTCAGCCCTGCCCTGACGCTGTGTCTAGCTGCTGCAGGAGTCAGATGAGGGCAGCCCAGCCTCTCCGTATAGGTTGGGCAGGTAGGAGAGATTAATTTCCTCTTCTGTCCCAGCTCTAGAGTCCTGGCCTTGTTCCATGGTAGCAATTCTGCCCAGGGCATAGAAATTTACCAGCACATGCAGTCTCTTTGGGTTTTTTTATTTCCTTTTTCTTTCTTTGGTTTTTTTGGTACAGTCCTTAAGAATAGCCTTAATGCCTTTGAGCTGAAACCCTTGCTTCCTAGATTTAGAGGGGAGGAGCAGGATAAGAGGCTATGAAGAGACTCAGGTGACTTTCCAACAATCTTGGCAAATAAACCTAAATCTTAGGATCTTTGCAAAAGCCTAGAAGCTCTTTTTTACCTTAAGAACTCATGAAAACAGACATTCAACAGCAGTTAAGGCAGGAGAACAAATGAGATCGAAGGCTTTAAAGGGCCTGCCATCACTAAGGAAGGTCTCCAAGTTGTCCAGTGTAGTTGTCTCTCCTCCAGAGGTGCAGTGGAGGTGTGGCTGGCTCGTGGGGTACGCTGTGACATGCAGCGTGTCCACCTGTGCTGATGCAGCAAAGTGGTCTTTATCATGGTCCCATCTGGAAACTGGGGCAGCCTGAGCACTTATCCCTACAGGGAACACCTTGCTGGGTCTGTGGGCTCGTTCAGACTAGACAAACCTGTATCGAGCCCTGCTACTCTGTCAGCAGTATGCTCCTGCCACTGTCTCCACTGTCTCCAGCCACGGCTGCCCTGGGCTTTCCCCATCTCTTGTGGGCAGCAGATGTTTACACCATGGATGTACAGCAGAGGCAAAACAGTTTTCCCACCCAGCCCAGTGGACTGGAATGTGAAAATGTTCCCAGTCATCATTAAGGTCCCATGTTTGCCTCTGGAGTGCAACGATGCATTAGGACTAGTGCTTCTGAGCAGCTGATGCACTTCAAGTACACCCCATGTTGGTACTGGCATAGCCTAAACTGATGAACTCCTCTTGCACCCTCCTCCTGCCACTCAAAATCCTGGCTGTGCACAAAGCTGGGGTTCAGGAACTAGCACTGATATGTGTATCAGGATGTGGTGTTTGCCCAGAAGGCTGGGGTAGCTTGTTCCACAGGTGGTGGGATGCCCTGCAAGACAGATCTGTGGAGAACCAACAAGTTATGATTCCATTAGGTTTAATGTAGTGGGGAACAGCATCTGGGTGGCTGTCACAACTGAGGTGTTTTAGGGGATTTGAACATGGATTTACAGAAATGTGATCACTGTATATGGATATGCAAGGCACTTAAAGCTTTTCCATCTGCTTTAGTTAGCTCCTTAGTATCAGCACACCATGTGGGACTAAATATTTAAGGGGAGTTCCCCAAGACTCACTCTGAAGGGACAAAATTGTCTAGAAATAATATCCAGGTGTTGAGAAAAGGAAAATTATTGTAGCTGTTACTTTGGGTTGTCTCCCAGCTCCAATTCACCCTGCATTTTGTAGATTATCCCTGACATTTAAACTGGCTTTTAGCTAATCTTCCAGTCTTGGGTTTTCTTTGCTGGGAGAGGGAAAAGTTGGGAGGGCCGTGAAATACTTTGAGCCATATCTTGGCAGAGGAGCAACTCTCCAAAATCAGTGATCAGTATTTGGTAATGGAAAATGAAATCCACACAGTCACCTTCCCCTCCATCTGCTCCCAACTTAGGCACATGGGGATGAGTGAGGTCTGGGACAGAAACCCCTTGTCCATCCAATTTGATTTCATCAGATCTTACAGTCTTTGAGCAAGCCCTGCAGAGGCAGAATGGACACACAGTGTTGCCAGCAACTACAGGTCCCTCACAAGAACTAAAAACCTTTGTCTCTTCTGTCCTAGTTCTGGATACTGCAGGCCAAGAGGAGTTCAGTGCAATGAGGGAGCAGTACATGAGGACTGGAGATGGTTTCCTTATTGTCTACTCGGTGACGGACAAGGCCAGCTTCGAGCACGTGGACCGGTTCCACCAGCTGATCCTCCGAGTCAAGGACAGGTGGGTGCCACGGGGCTGGGCACTGCCTGACCCACCAGGCTGCCAACCATCCTGATTGTACATCTCACCCTAACTTCTGCCTTCTGGGTGTCCTGAGATGAATCCTTGTGTGGGATTTGTGGACCTCAGTGTGGTGAATAAGTGGTTTACTTCTTCTGATAAGCATTAAGTACTTTCAATGTGGAAAGGGTCAGTAGTGCTACAATGGAGTGAAAATGCACTTGGAAGGGAGAAACTTCTGCCAGAATGGCCTGGCAGAGCAGTGTGAGAAAGAGATCAGACACCTTTGAAGGTAACCAGCTCAGCTCTGAAGAGGGGGAAGGATGGATGCTCTGTGCACAGTGCAGGCACCAGCAGGGAGTCAGCAAGCATTCAGCCCTGATTATTCTGTGTGTGCTGGCACCATCTTCCTTTCCCTGGCTTGTGCCAAACACACCTTCGAAGGCCCTGCATTATTTAGGGGTGTGGACAAGTGTCTTGAAGGGGAAAAAACTCATGCTGGAAGGAACTGTATTTCTTACCAGGGATGTAATGTAGTTAATGCACTGTGCTCTGCAGCAAACAATTGCACAGAATAAAACATCTGTCTGTGCCTGAAGAGACAGCAAGAGAGGTCACCTCTCTCCTCCTTGCATGTGCAGGGGAGAAGATAGCACTGAGAGTTTAATCATGGTAAATAAACGTGTTCTGGCAGAGTGAGGGGAAGCTGCTGGTTTATCTCCAAGGTTACTCCCTCTTCCCATCCTGGTTCAAGAAGCAATGGATCCATCCTCACTGGGTGGGGTGTGAATTAAACCCTTATATGTCTGCAGATTTGAACCACTTAGTTTTTCCGCTCATAATGGCTTTTAATTATGGAAGTCATCAAGAAAAGTCACCAGAGGGTTTGGGCCTTGTTGCTGGCTTCCTTTCACAGCTCTGAATAACTTCCCCACAGGAAGGGTGGACTCATATCATGTGAGGTTCACAGCTGACAGCTCTTCCAGTAAAGCATCCAAAGCGTAGCCCACAAGGGTGAAAAGTGAAGGAAAAACCACCCTTTGATTTAATTTAAACGAAGAAGAATGTCAGTCACTCAGCCTCTCAGATCACAGCAGTCTAAGCAATGCTGGCTTAGCTTGGGGCAAAGTAAATCTGTTTCTAAAAGCTGAAGGAGACGGGACAGAATTTCCTGTAACCTGCCCCAATCTGATGCTGATTTTATCTAATTTAACTTGGTGAAAATAAGATGCAGTGTTCGCTGTTTGTTCTGGACTGAAACTTTTACCCTCCATACGCCGTGCAAATGCTGCAGCAGTGTGAGAGGCAGGAAGTGAAACAGGCTGGTGAGGTTGTTTGTGTTTCCTCGCTCAGCGCCACTCCGAGCGTGAGGAGTGTATTAATGCTTCATCCAGAACCTGAGCTTGGTCAGCAAATTGCAGCAGTGGGAGCAGTGTGAGTAAAAAAACCCTCCTGCAAAACCCACAGGTAGCTGGGAGCAGAGCATCACCCTGCTTTTCAGTCTGGCAGGCAGTTTTGGCTGCTTTAAAATCTAAAAGAATTGCAGGCTGCTGTGTTAGCAGGGCTATTCAAAGCCTTCCTCCCATTTCTTTCTGCAACTTTCATTATATTAAAATTTCCAACTGTAGCAGCTTTGTCCTACTAGCAGTTGTACAGCTTACAATAGGGAACAAAGTCCCCATAGAGTTTTATGCCTGATGTAAACAAGACAAATGAGATACCATCCAAAAGTAATCCCTTTCTAATCAATGTGCTGCAAGCCAAAAAGCAATCAAATAATCCAGACAAGCAAATATTTTGCTCCAGAAGGATCAGAGTCAAGATATATCAATGCTCAGGTATTAACATTAAATCACCGTCACATTATCAAAATGAATAACTCTAAGACTCATTCAAAATGCAGAGTGCAGTACAGTATTTTTCCAGCCAGAGCAATGGGGCAAGATGCCAGAGGGAATATGGAGCTCTTATCATCTCGATGAAAAATGACCCAGAAACTATGTTTAAAAATCCAGAGTTACCCCGGGAATGAGTATGGCCAGCTGCTCCTCACCCCAGTAAAATTAGCTCTGTTACAGCAGGGAACACTGGGATCACTTAGGAGGGTTTAAAATTAAATATAAGACAACAATACTGCAGTAACTGACAGTGATCAGAAGGGACATCCTCCCTCCCAGCAGTGGCTAAGAGGCCCTGCAGCAGCTGATTGCTCTGTTTCATGAAGCCAGAGGAGAGAATGCCACTGCCAACATCTCCCATGGCTCCCAGCTTTGGTTCTGTTTATCGCTGGAGCAGTGGAGCTTTCTGCAGGGGGAGAGCCTTGCACAGGAGTTGTGGTGGATAGATGGATCTTTGCAGGTGGTGGCTGGAGACAGGCACTTACATGCCTGGTAGCTAAGGAAATACGGAGTATTATTACAGAGAAGAGATGGGTTTGGTATTTTTTTCTGGGATTAGAAACAGGAGATGGTAGGTAATAGCACTGGAAGCTTGGCAAATCTCTTTGACTCCCTCCAGCCTCCTTCCAGCTACCACTGCCAAGCTCAGTTTGTCTTGTGGTAACAGCTGATGGGTATCTTTTTGCTTCCACTCATTTTCTCCACCATTTGATGCCTCTCTAAGCACCATCTCCCAGAGTCCATCTTTCTTTCCCCCACAGTTACTTTCAGTGGATGACCAGGAATGAAATTACTCCAATTCTTCCATCATCCCTCAGTATCTTGCCAAGATATGCAGTTACTGAGATGCCTTAACTGCTACAAAAGAGTCCTAGTCTCCTGTCCAAGATCTGTCTTTGTCTCAGTTGGTTTTCTGGCTAATTCTCTAGATCTTTCTTCACCTAGTTGGATCTTCAGGCTTAGTTATCATCAGGCATAGCAAGAATGGTGACAGTAAGTTCTGAGGTTCCTACAAATAGCAATGAATGTGTGCATGCATGCAACTTGTCAAGTGAATTTTTACAATATCAACATATGTATAGCAGAGCCTGGGGGTTTTCTTTATATTTCTTTACACACACATGGTATGTTTGTAGCTGAAAATGTTTGATGTCAGCATCAAAAAGTGAAATTTATGCTCATAATTTTTGTTGTAGTCTGCTAATAATTGGAAGATGTTTTTGATTTTTTTCCAGGGAGTCTTTTCCAATGATTTTGGTGGCAAACAAAGTTGATCTAATGCACTTACGGAAAATTACAAGAGAACAGGGGAGAGAAATGGCAACAAAACATAACGTAAGTTTGCAGGATTATGTAGTTATTGAAAGTCCTATGACAGGTGTTCAGAACTTAAATCTGTGCTCATTAGGAGCTGAATTAAAGCTTACAATTAAACATTTTTAAATACATTTTTGACTACTACAAAGTAGCAGCTATGCAGTCTCCTTTCAGTAGGGTCAGTTCATCACTGAAGCCAGAACCTCTGCTGTGCACCAGGCTCTACCAGAGCTGTGGAAAGACTTAGGTACAGCGTGTCTGAAGCGTTCAGGATGAGGGAAGAAAGTGTGCTCTCCTGGAGTGAAAAGGCAGAGTTAGGCATCAGGAGGTATATCCAGGTGCCTGAGCTCGTTAAAGATAATGAAGTTAACAGGGTTGTTAAGCCTATATAAATCTGGCCCACCATCTTAGCTCTGCATTATTCATGCTGTTAGCTTAGCCTGAGAAATTTGTCTTAGATGGGTGTAGATCACATGCTGCTCCACTAATCACCTCTAAATGCCAGCAGCCCTGAATACCCAGAGGGAGACAACAACTCCCTTAGGAGGTGGAACTGAATGGAAATGTTAAAGGCAAACAAGCCTGAACCTCTTTGCAGGTTGCTGTGCCTAAAGGACGAGCTGTGTGGTGGTTTCTGAGCAATCCACGATGGGAGTTTGGCAGGGCAGGTTCACTCCCCCCACCCCTAGGAATCTGGTTTCTGTCAGAGCCAGGACACCTAAACTGCAGCACAGCATGTTGTATCCATCTGTATACACACGCCTTGGAAAAGGCCATGCATGAAAATACCTTATCAGAGGCAGTTTTATAAATCTGCCAGTGTGCTGGACAAGCACTCTAGGAGGCCCCATCTGGCTGTCAGACTTTGAAGGGGAAGATCATTTTACACTGAAGGGGAATTGTAGTCATGAAATATTCATGCAGTAGTCCCAATAAAATGTGGCAAGCAAGAATTTTTGGCAAGTGCTGGTCTTTCAACAACCTTCGGCTATTTTCATGTCTGTGGGCACAGCTCAGGGGGAGAGAACATCTGACGACATGAAGTCTGGGATTATTCTCCCCCAAACCCAGAGCTCTGATAGCAGCTGTTTTAGCCTGGTGCTTATTCCAGACCTTTTGTAAGCGCTCCCTGACCTTGCTGCGAGGGTGAGGGTGTTGATAGTGGTGTCATGGCAACATTTTATTTACCTGAATTTCCTTGGTATTAGCAGCCCATTTTTCCAGCCTTTAGGCTTTTCATTTTGAAACTGGTATTATCCCAACAAGTAGGCTGTTACTGATCTTTTTCATGATACACTTCTCTCCTCCAGATTCCTTATATAGAAACGAGTGCCAAGGACCCACCTCTGAATGTGGACAAGGCCTTCCATGATCTCGTGAGGGTAATAAGGTAAGCTGCAAACTCCTCCCTTCCTTACTGCCCATGGATGTGCAGGAGTCATGGCCCAGAGAGTCAGGAGCCAGCTGCTGGGGAGCCAGGTTTTCTTGGGGGTGGGATATTTCTGGTGCTTATTAACTTTATTGTCCTATATCTGCTTAGGTATGTTACTAGCACTTAGTTACCTGGGCAGGATGTCAGTACCAGGCACAGTAAGAAGTAGCTGTGGCCATAATGAAAATTTTTTATTCAATGAACAAAAAGTGTATTATAATGATCAGCTCTAAAAGGCTGGCATTGAAAGCTCTGGACCAGTAATTTGGGTTTTCATAGTTTTGTCTTCTCAGGGTCTTGCCTTGCCAGAAGTTAAAATGGACTGGCAAAAAATTCTACAAAATTCTAATGTTGTAAGTGACTTCTAACATTTTCTGCTAAATAAATGGAAAAATTAAGCCATTTTGTATGAGAAACTGCATGACCTAATGGCTAAGCCCCAGGTTTCCTCAGACTGCAGAGGTTTGTTCCCAGTTTTGGCATGAGCTGCCTTTGCTCCTTCTGGCATGCACAGTCTCCGGGCAAAGCCCTGCTCTGCTGCCAGCAGGGAGGGACTGTCTTCCCAAACCCCGGCTCCCCTGCAGGAAAAGAGCTGCACACACATCCCAGCATCTCGGCTGATAACCTCAGTTCTCTCTGAGATTTGTTTTTCTGGCACTAGTTGTCTGCCAGATTTTCTGGGCCCTCATTTTTCATGTTTTGGGAGGGGGCTGAGCTGGAATCATGCTCCTCCCTGTCGTGCAGTCGAAGTGCCTCGCCCAGCAATTAAACCACAAGGCATTTATTCACAGCATATCTGTACTTGTGAATATCCTAGCACAGCCTCAAGCCAGCCTCCATCAAAAGCAGATGGTACTGCCCACTCTTCCCACATGTCTCAAAAGCAGAGGGCAGAAAGTCTTTGGAGAGCTGAGTTGGAAGCGTCCCAGGCTCTTTCCCAACTGTTCTGTAACTCAGTATTAGCTGGCTAGATACTACTTTTGTGCTGCAGCAAGCTCTTACCACCATCTATTCTGCTCTGCAGGGAAGGAAAACAGCCAAAATAAGATGGAAAGGCTTTGTTTGCTTTCTCTACATAACACAATTCCAGGCAGGCTGAAAGGAGGCGGATATTGTAATGAGGCATTACTAATTTCAAGCCATGAAAATGCACTCCATAAGCCCAAAGATAAGTGGTACACCTCAGTTTCCTGACTAGCTACTGTGAAAGTCCTTGCCAGCCAGGTGAAACCCTCTGTGATGTCAAAGGCACCAAAACTGTTCGCAAGAGCTGGAATTCAGGTTAAGTCAGAGAGCAGGGAGAGCATCTCCCTGCTGTGTGATCTGGCTGGTCATTGGCCACAAAGCAGCTTAGCTTGGTTTTTGGATGTTACAAACTGTCCACAGGCAAGGGTAGCATCACCCACCAAGTACTGTTTTTCTAGCTTTCAAGTGAGCTTTTTCAAATTAAATGTGAATTTCAGCTCCCTGGCGACTGTCATTGATGGAGTGCTTTGCAAATGAAGGGCTTCCTCAGAGCCCTTGTGAGCTCTCAGAGTGAGGATGCTCCTTCAGGGTTTGGGCTCCTTGCACTTGGCTGACTCCCAGTGTATTTAGCTTCATGCAAGAAACTGTTGTCTGGAGGTAATCCAGAAAGGAGTGGGGTGATTGAGTCCACCTAATAGGTGTTTTAAATTTCCTGATGCCCCTTTTATGCTGCAGCAGTGCACACACAGGAGCTGTCACAGCAGAAGCCTTGAGCAGGCCCAGGGTATGATTTCTGCATCTCTAAAACAGATCCAGAAGAGTGTGTGAACAGCTTGTGGTTACTTAGTCTTTATCCAGATTTAAAGTATTTTCTGAATTTCATCTTTCCAGTTTTGAGCTTTAAGGTATGGTTTTCATGCCTCCAGCCTTCATATTCACTGATAAAAAGTCTTACTAGTCAAAGCTGAGTTTTTCAGATGGTTGCAAGAATTTGGAAACTGAGGCTGTAAGAGAAACATCAGCTAAAGCCATAGTGACTTACACCCCAGTGATGTCTCATCCTGGTCTGAATTACTTGGTATGGACACTTGGTTTAATGCCTGGAAAATTACATGACAAACAGGCTGCTTTTGAACTGTTCAGACTCAGGTTTGAATCTACGGAAGCTGCTGGTGTTTGTATGCTTTATCTTGCACTAAAATCTACATCTGCAGGCTGCCTGTTGGTGTTAGAGCTACAGAGCCTTCTGCTGGGTTTGCACTGCTGGGCTGGCAGAGTAGCTGCTGCAGTTGGGTGCAGTTGCAAACAGGCATTTGGGCAATGCCTCATCTTACTGGACAGGGAGAAACCTTGAACAGAATGCTTTAGAGGCTGCTCACAGCTCCATGGCACAGTGCAGGAAGGCTCTCAGCTGTGTGTTCCTGGTGGCTCTGACTTCACACAGCCAGGGACATCTTTCTGGGGTCAGCTCATTCTGTGCTCAGGTGCTCTTCACGACTTCAGAGGAAGCCAGAGCCCCATTGGCAGCAAACTCTGGTTTTGGTTTATTATTTTTTATCCCCCCTCCATCACCAAGTCTGCATCAGTGTAGCTGGCTAAGGGCAATGCCAGCTGAAAGGCAGAAGAGCATATTTCTCTGTGCTCTCTGTATCTCTCTCATCCTCTTCCCTACTCTGTCAGCAGCAGTGTAATGGATGACGTTGCATAGCTTAGAGCATCCCTGTTTCCCAGAGCAGCCCTGGTGGCAGGGGAGGAGGCAGCAGTTCACCCTGGAGGCATAATGCCCTGGCAGGACATAGATCCCTGCCATTAGCCTTAATGGCTTCTTTCCTCCTTCCTGAAAAGTGCAGGCAGTTCTCAGCTGTGTGGCATGAAAAGCCATGCAGTGCTGGAAGGGTATATGGAGATATGTATGCAAATACACACATGCACGCCAAGATGCTGCTCTGCAGGCTGCCCAGGGCTCTGGATCCAACCCAGCCTTATGTCTCACCTGCCTGCTTTCTTCTCTGTCTCCCAAAACAGGCAACAGATCCCAGAGAAAAGCCAGAAGAAGAAGAAAAAGACCAAATGGCGAGGGGACAGAGCCACGGGCTCCCATAAACTCCAGTGCGTGATTTTGTGACAGGACACCCTGGGAGTGCCTTGGCTGCCTCCCTCCTCCCCTCTTGATCCACCGCCAGCCCAGGCGAGGAGCCGCAGCTGGATGCTGATGCCCACATGGCCCCGTGGCCCCTCGGGCTCCCCACGGCAGCTCAGACTTGGAGGAGGCGGCTCAGAGGGTCTGGACCCCCCCGGAGAGGGGCTGCACATCAGGGCCAGCGTGGGAGCTGTGCCAGTGGGAGGCGGAAGGGATCGGCAGGACCTCAACTCTCAAACATCCCCAGCACCTTCCAGGGGCCTCCATGATGTTTATTAAAAAAAAACCAAACAAGGAAGAAGTTAAAAAAAAAGTGTTGGTTTTATCTGCAAACATTTCTCTTTGTGACCCATTTCTGAACAGCCTTGAATAGCCCCCCTGTTTGGTACAGTTGTCTGTGTATGTGTGGGGGAAGGGAAAGGGTTTTTCTTTCTCTTAGTTTTTTTTTTGTCCTCTTCTTCCTTTGTGTTGTTTGCTCAGCGAGTGTTGGGTTGCAAAGAAACAACGGCCAGGCTTAGATTTTTTGCACTGAACTCTCTCTTGGGCGGCAGTGCCAAAACACAACTTCATATGAAAGTGCATAGATTTGGAGTAAGAAAATTAGTTCCAGCTGCTCTGGGTGCTCCAGACATTGTGTCAGACTCTGGAGGGTCGCCAGCTCACAGACCATAAACTCCAGCTTAGGAAAGGAGGTTTGGGCTTGGATTATTTTTTTTTTCCTTACCCTTTGTCAAGAAGTTTTGTTTCTGTTTTGTAACTTCGGACATGTCAAACTTTAAGACATTTTGTTAACCTGGAAGTATTTAAATTAAAGTAATTTACAGATGGAAGGGTATGTCATTTTTGGGGGAGGAGGGTGGAGGGGAAGGGAGAAAGGAAGTAAAATCTGAACTGAATTTGTTATTTGGGTGTTGAATTTCTCCCTCATAAATGCATGTAAAGTGGTGCAATTTAAATCACTCTCTATTATTCCTTAACCTTTCCCTGCAAAGCCACTCGTGGGTAGATTAATTGTTTTGCTTTTCCCAGGCTCATCTCACACACGCAGGAAAAAAAATCTGTTTATGGACTTTGGCTCAATGTTTCTTCTTCTCCCTCCTTCGCCAAGTTGGTGACTTGAAAGGAAGAGGTGTTTTTAAAATTATTCAAGTGAGATGTGTCTCTTCATAAGCTGACTGTATCTAAAATGTCTCCCTGAAAACAGCAAGGACTAAATATGCCTTATGAAAAGACAAGACAAAAAACCTGCAAGCATTCAAACTGCTGGCTGTAGCACCAGAAATATGGCTGTGCACATCCTGGAGGGGCCACGTGTTCTTTCACACCTTTCCTGGCAGTAAGAACTGCAGTGGCAAATTTGTCTTTAATGGAATGTCATCTGCTGGATTGAATCCATTGGCTCCATTCACATGGTCACCAAACCTGTTTAAAAGTAGCAACTTGCTTTTCGTCAGCTTGAATCCTATTCAAATATGCTTTGTGGGCAAGACATAAATATTGGCAGAGTATGAATGCCTGAGATTTATGTGTCTGTGCACAGAAAATCCTGGTATCGGATATTGAAGATCCATCCAAGATGATGGATCATCACAAACTTAGTTGTCCATACTTGTCTATTTGCCGCTACATTTCATTTCTTGACCCTTTGCCAGGCCTCTTTTTAGAAGTGAGTTGGCTGCTGATTATTTTTCAGGTGAATGAGGCTAATGGAAACATGTTCATTTGTCCAGTCTTCATCATAGTCAGAGGCTGGCAAAAGCCTGTGACTGGCTCTGCAAGCTGCTTAGGGTAATGCTGGCTCTGCTGCCTCAGTCTCCTGTGGTGTGGGAACAGATGCTGGGAATGGATTAAGCAGGGGGATATTGGAAAGAAGTGTCTCTCATGGACTCTTTGGTTGGATGTGGGCTGCACACTTCAGTGAAGTAGCAACATGCTGTGTCAGCTGAGATGCGGCTCCCAACCATCACAGCATTTCTCCCAGTGCTGGCTGAACAGAGCTGCAGCAGCTGAAGCCATCCATTTCAAATTCTGGTCCTTGAGACTTGCCTCTGCCTTCTGGAGGAAGATCTCCCTGTAGGCATTTCATTTGTTCTGTTTTGAAAACCTCTAGGGAATCAGAAATTGTGTGATCTTTGCAACCACCTGCTTTGACCATCACCCTTGTAACCACTTCCCTACCAGAATCTGTCTAGCCTGACTACTGGCTTAATAGTTTTAATTATACACTCCTAATGCTAGGGGATCCCACACACAAGATGATGGCATTTTCAGGGAGCTCTTTTAATACCCCCTAGAGCCCTTCCACTTAAAAATAACTAGATTTCTGCTGAAACACCTCATCATTATTTTTATCTAAACCCTTGGGAATGCTTGCCTGAAAACAGCATGTCTCTTGAGTCACATCTGCTGCGTACTCAGCACCGCATGTGAGAAATTATCTGCTTTTTCTAAAGCTTCTTAATTGTTCCTTCAGTTCCTTTAGCAACTAGCAGCTATTGCAGCATAATGGAGGGGAGGAGGAGGGGAAAGGAGCAGATTAACAACAGAATATGGAATAGTGGCCAATGGGTAAAGTAAGGCTGTTGTCTTCTATGTTCATCAGCTTGTTTATAGCAAAGAGTGTTTTCCAGCAAGGATTGCATCTTTGACAACCCTAGGGTGCTGAAAATAGCAAGATATGCAAAGCCTTCTGCCACCTAACCCACCCTGCCATATTCAGGGCTGTTGGGAAATGGAAAGCACCTTCCCTGCCCTGCACAGCACCTACAGACCTGGGCAGGGAGACTCCAGTTGGTGACACACTGCAGAGAGCAACTACTGGGCTGTGGGTGGCTTATCTTTTTCTATGGAGCATCCAGTAGATAGGGATATTTTTGTTGTGGTCAGGGGCAGTCTGGAGAAGGATCCTGTAAGAGCACACATGGGGCTCATTTCCAAAGAGTGGATGGTGCAAGTGACTAACATCATCTTCAGCCCCTGGGTAAATCAGCATTGCCTTCTCTTCTGGTTCCTCTTCTGTTAAACAGAAATTGGCAAGGTAGAGTTGGCCATAGAGCTGACCTTGCTTTCAATACACAGTTTCAAACAAAATAAAAAGAGGAGTAAACTATTACAGATTTACTGGTATTTAATAGCCAAGTAACCTCCTTTTTCTATTTTAGAGACTGAATAATATTTGTAGAACAACAAACAACAATTACTAAGCCACCTAAGTTTTGGCTTTGCAAAGGTGTCATCACCTCCCTGACCTGGATCCCATAGCAGCTGTACGCTGCCTTCAGGTAAATCATGTTGCTGTTTCCTCTCTCTGGTCCTGCCTATAAGGCAGCCATTGGCTTTGTTTTCTTACCAACTTCTGAGGTGCATGACATGTGCTGTACAAGCCAAATCACCTGTTTGTCTGTCGACCTCATGTCTCTCAAAGGTGGGGGGGGAAGGAGAAAAAGGAGCAGTACCTGGTTGAAATAAATACACATTTCTTTGGCATGAGCAGGGTTTAATTGTCCCTCTCTGCCTGCTAACTAAATAGCACAAAAACCTGATAGCAGCAAAACCAAACAACACCACCCCACATCTGAGGAGGCCTGTACATTGTGGCCACCTACAAACCTACTTTCTTGGCTGCCTCAGCCAAGACTAGTGCTGTCAGTGGCAAAGCTGCTCTTTAATAGCCTGGGTACATTTAAATAAACCATGTTCAGATAATGGTGCTCAGCAGCAAAACAAGATGGTGAACAAGAGAAGCAAAGGGCTGAAATTGCTTGGTTTGAATCAGATGTTTCAGTTTAACAAGAGGCCATTGCAGTATGTTGCTCAGTTCCTTAATCTGCAATAATTAATTGTGGCTGGCTCTTTTAACCTACAGCTGTACTAGAATTTGCAAATTAGGACAGGCTGAGGGGTTTAGACATACATGGTGTGTCTCGTCTGGAGAGGAAATGAGCATTTTTGGGCATAGAGAGGACAGAATTGTAATGCTGGTTCAGGTTTTTTTTTTAGCTTGTTACCATCCTCAGGCCAAAATGGATTGCCCAGAGCCTTATTCAGCTCCAGTGATTTCAAGGGATGGTCCCTAAATTCTGCTGAAGTGCTTGGGAAGGACGTGATCCCCCTCAAAGCTCTGCTAAGAGCAGAATATATGAGGAATACAGAAGATAGTTTAAGAGGTGCAACTTATGGTCTATTTAAGATGTCAGAGTTCAGATATTTATCAATGAGGGAGAGAGAGGGCTTGAGAGAAGTTTGGCATTAGGGAAATAGCCAAGGCCCTGTGACAACTGCCACATCAACCTGTGTACCTTGGAATGGACAGAAGAGCTCTGTGTCTCAAAATTGCTTTCTGTGGGCTGGGTTCACTGGCAAACCTATTCAATCTGCTGTAGGCTGGGAAGGAAGGAGGAGCTTTAGTGCATTTATTAAGGACTGCACTCACAGCAAACATGACAGTGAAAAGGAGAGGAAGGATGCTGGGGCACGGGAAAGTGTTGCTGTTCTTGGTCACTGCTCCCTGTGCTGGGAGATCTTCAGCGGTCACACAGGCTAAACTGAGTGTCTTTCATTTACGTATTTAATGCCATCTGAAGATGCCTGGGGGTACCCAGGGCATTTACCTGTGAGTTTCAGCCATAACACGAGACCTATGGGAAATCTGGGCCCTTTTGGAGCAGCACCCATCAGTCAAGGATTCACCTGAGCAGCTGAAATGGCTCCAGGTGTGTACCTTGGGGCTGCCAGTAGGTGCTTTGAGAACCCTTTTCTATTTCACAGCAGCGCTCTGAGAAAAGTGAGTGGATATTTCAAGTGTCTGTGGATACCCTAGTTCTTCTCCTGCAAAGTGATGTCACCTGTGTTTTAGCGACTCACTGATGCAACTAGATAAAGTCTGAAGTAGAAGTAACTAATTTTGTGAACTGTATTAATTGAATTTTGCATCCTAGGATCTCATGAGCATCAGTTGCACAATTTGGGCGTAAATAATTCAATGTTTAGCTATCAAGGATTCCATCAATATTATGCAGGCCTTTTGCTTCCTTTTCTCTTGCATGCAAGGGAAATAAATATTTCATAGATGATCTCATAGATGGTTTCTGGGATGACACAGGACTTGCTTGCAGCAGAAGAGAACTGGGAAAGAAATGACTGCATGCGCTGGATCCCATGATGGGGAGGCACAAGGAGTTATGGCACAGAGGAGGGCTCTGGTCTGAAGGGGTTTCCTACCACTGTGGCAAATCACTGCTAATTCTCTCCAGCTCCAAGAAGTCACTCAAGGGTGGCCAGCAGGTCAGGCAGGTCAAGATTTCCCAAGGCAGGAGAAACATGCAGGCACTGTGTCAGTGCTGTGCCAAAGGGAAGGGCCAGGGAAGGAAGGCTCACACCCGGCAGATGAGACCTGCCAGGTGGGTGAGTGCAGCAGTTACTGCTAATGACAGGAGGGGGATGTTCAGCAGTGCTGAGTAGTGACAGCCAAAATCCCCTAATCCTGGCAGTTCTGGACAGCTCTTTTAATTATTTTGAATTTAGGGATCTCTTTGCCATATCCTGGGGGACCAGCAACATCATGCCAAGCCAAACACAGCAGTCTGTGACTTACCACAAGCATTACTACTCTTCTGGTTTCCATCCCTTCTCCCAGGTCTCTGTCATGCAGACCAGGACATGTGCAACATTGTCTGAGAGCTCAGACTGGGCATGTGGTCAGATCCAGGAGCCAAAGAGAGGGACTCAGGCAATATCCTGGATTTGGTCAATAAGAGAGCAGGAGGCAAAGGAAGGAACTTTGTGAATCAGGACCTTGTTCTATAAAGCCAAATCCTCTGCAAATCTGGGCAAGAGACATTATACAGCTCGTGATTAAGACAATCTCTGCTGAGAAGTCAGCCCAGCTGAACAAGTCACA